AAAAAAAGAAAAGAAAAGGAAGAACGAAGTTCGAACATGGAAATCCTCCCATCTCAGAGGAAATCCTCATTTACATCCGCCTCCGCTGCTGTTCAGACAATCCCACTTTACCGCTCGGCACCGGACCTCGAAGTCCAACTCGAAGAATTTGAACTTTACGCCATTCAACGTCTCCGAGGTCTCTTCACTCTCTAATACATACACGGAATGCAAGCAATTTAATGCCCAATTATTCCCCTTAGGGTTTTTGTTTATGAAAAATAACATAAATAATAATTTGGAGCAGTAGAGAAAATGTTCTCAGTTTTAAATAATAAGGGAGTTTGAGATTTTGCCATATAGTCGGGTTTAATTGGATATTGGTCTAGATGCGTGATTCAACCGAACTATAATCATTTCTTTTGTGGGCTTTTATTCATTTCCTGTCCGGGGTTTTGGAAGTTTTGATTTTGGAAATTAGGTATCTTTCCATTTTCTGAATTTAGGAGGATGTATCATCTTCTTTAAGAAACATTTCAAATTTAGGGAAAAATGGGTTGTTTCTTATATTGGTGGTTTAAATTGCTCAATGCAGTTCTTAAAGGTATTTCAGATGGATTATCCCGGGGAAAGAAACCCGACGAATTGGAGAAATTGGTATGTCAGAAGGGTCCATGTTCTCTTATCTGCCCATAAAAAGTACCTTTTTCTCCCCTAAATGTCGTTTCTGAACTTACTCAAAGGAATTTGGTGTAGGTAGATGATTTATGGAAGGCAAATATGATGCATCCTAAAGCATCGGAGGTTGTCAACAAGGATATCATTTCCCATTTTGTTCTGCGCCTTGTTTATTGCAGAGAGTAAGCTTATATATCCCGTGCTTTCTATTCTCCTCATAGTATTGTTGTTTCTCAAATTGCAAGACTCACCTTTTGTTTTTTCTTCTTTATTTCTATTGGACGTCTTATAGAGAGGAATTAAGCAAATGGTTTCTTTCGATGGAGACTACCTTGTTTTGCTGTCGCTTTCAACATCAAAGTGCTGAAGCCAAGGTGTTGTTTAATTTATATAGTCTTAGGCTCTGTTTCCAGCATGACCGTCATCAAATTATTTACATCTGATGATTGATCTCTTATTGATTTCAATTTTGGCTGCAGAGGGCATTGTTGGAAAAGTTTGACCTGCCATGCAAAGCCGTAAGCATTGCTGAATATGAGGTAGTTTAAGGTTTCCTAAGGCTTCCAAAGATCACTCAATTATCTGTGTCCTTGATGTTGCTTATTACCACAAAGTTTCAAATACATCATGCAGGTGTTGAATTTTATGAAATTTAAATTTATAAAGAATTCATGAATTGTCAAGATCTCAGTGTCAAATCATCAAGAAAATTAATTAATGCGGAACGTACCTTGATCCATCGATTTGTATCTTGAATAATAAATTTTAAATTGCAATCTTTTAATCTTGACTTCTAGGTCTTTAATCTTGATTTCGTGTTCTTCAATTTGATCATTCCAATTCTTCTTCTTGATTCTTGAATTCCTTTATGTGGGTTTTGTATCTTCATTTTCAATATGCTTTCTCTTTTAATTCTTGTGTTGATAGGATGACACAAAGAATGTGAAAATTGCATATGAATTGGGGACCGTAACTCTATATATAGTTTTTATATGTATTCGGCCCATCGTCAATATAACCCTAATGGATTCAATCTCTACACATAAATCAGACTCACATTTTATTTAGATGTCCAAAGTACAGTTACTTAATTCTTTACTAGATCACTTTAATTTTGGGCTTAATTTTAAGATATTCTTTATACACACTTTTAATAACATATGTAAGGCCACATGACAAATTAATATTTTTTTCACATCGGGCACTACTTTATAAAATCACAAAACACATGGTTACCTTATATTCATCAAGTAACTTTTAACATATTTTTTTTCTTGTTTTGCAGAGTTTGAAGGATAAATTGAACCAAGTAGCACGCTCCGTTGGGGTTCCACCCAGTGGTATTTGCTGAATTACTTCCTTAAACTTCAGCAGTTCAGCTGGATTACACTGCAATATTCAGCAAATATCTGCAATATTTATTTGATAGTTTTTGCTCTGATTTATTTCTTTTTCACTTTTTTGCAGCTGACACCAAATTCTACAAGGCATTGACTACTTGTGCCCCTTCCTGTTCCTCCCCATTTTCTCATTAAACAATTATTTGCTTTATCATACTGGCAATACCATTACATTAGCTATGTTGGTAGATTAAGTAGGCTATATACATGCATATTCTTCACAAATATGACATGACTCCTGAAAGAAAAAATTCAGACTGCTCTTGTGAAATTCTGGTTAGAGTGACACTAGTAGTTGTGGCTTCTAGGTTTCCCCACTTTGATTTGGCGTTAGCCTTGGTTCTAGTTGATTTTCAACTTATTTGGTCCTTATTTTCCATTATTAAAAAAACTGAAGGTTCCATTTGAGGAAGTTCCCGACCTTGTGGCGAAGCGTAAAGTACTTGTACAGAAGGGAAATGCGTATTTTGCAATGAACCAGGTGAATATATTACATGCTAATTGACTCACTTTCAATAGAAAATGGATTTCATCTTTTCAACTGAGATACGTGCTTAAGTGTCTAATATCTTCTTGTAGGTGATTTCCCTTCTTATGACACAATACCGCAGCCATCTTTCAAAGGCACTTGCGTTGACAAAAAGGTTCATCGTAATTTTTCATTCAAAATTGTTTTCATTGTTTTTTTTTCCCCCATAAAGTGTATGCATTGTCTCTTTTTGTCAATGATTCGATTAGCTATCTTTGGGGTTTAGAATGATAACTATTGAAATTTCTTCATGGTTATCCGGTTTCGATGGTCTAGGACACTACGCCCTTGTTTGACACCCATTTTATGGAAGAATTTGTTTTGGAATAGTGATTGATGGAAGAATGTGTAGTTAAAAAGTAAGAAGAATTTTTAGGTTTATGTGTAATATTATTTTATTTGGAGAATGTATGGTTAGAAATGAGTACTGTAAAAAAATGAGAATGAGAATGAGATAAAAAATGAGTGTCAAACGGGAGCTAACTTTTTTAGACTGATAACTATTGAAATTTCTTCATGGTTATCCGGTTTCGATGGTCTAGGACACTACGCCCTTGTTTGACACCCATTTTATGGAAGAATTTGTTTTGGAATAGTGATTGATGGAAGAATGTGTAGTTAAAAAGTAAGAAGAATTTTTGGGTTTATGTGTAATATTATTTTATTGATAGAATGTGTGGTTGAAATGAAGAAAGAGAAAAAAATGAGAATGAGAAAAAAAATGGATGTCAAACAAGGGCTACATCTTGTGACTCTTGTATGGTCTGGCGATGTCTCTCTATTAGACGATATACTTTGATGATAATTTTGTTATGCAGAGATATCAATAGTCTCTTCCAAAAACTCATACCCTCTCAGATGCGACAGAAAAAAAAATTCATCTGTCATAGTTCGTTGGAACCTGAAATAAATTTGCTTGACGATTTATCATAGCATTTGTATATTATTATTTATAAGCGCATTACAGATGATCTATACACAGAGAAACTTTACATACAAACCTTAGAGAAAATAAGGTATGTGCAGAGAAATTCCTAGAATTAATCCTTAGGTGTAATCTTCAATCGTTGAGGCTGTCTTTCCTATTTGAAGAGGCAACAATCGAGGAGTCTTTAATCATGGAATCTTCAATTGTGGATTTATTGACATTAGATAGCACAACATTAGTTAGTCTAACATAACCAATCAAACTTTTCCAGTGGTAATATTTATGTTAAAAACCTTTTGATATTTGAAGAATTTTCATATTTTCTACAGATCATTGTCAGTGGGAAAAATTTAAAGCTGGGAGGGTTTAAAATTGTCTCCATAAAATATGCAACTTAAATTTTGGAATGTTTGTTTCTAAATTGACAAGCAAACTTAAAAGCATAAACTTTTATCCTATAGAATTTTATAACCTGCAGTGCTTGCTTTCAGAAAATGGATCTCCATGATCAGAGAACAAGAAAAGGACAGACTAACTCCTGTGAGTATCCAGAAGTGATTCATGAAAACTCTTTGTTCTGAATTACATTGTATCTAACCCCATTTGTTTTACAAAGATTGTTGAAGCTCTATCCACAAGTTATTTAGGTCCTGATTACAGCCAGGTAATTCTAGTACTTATATCTGGAATGGCAGAAGTTCAACTTCAGTTGATTGACTTAGTATACTACTATTACAGCCAAAAGAATATGCAGAACTATCAATAAAGGACATTGATCAAGTTGCTAAAAGGTCATTCCCACTCTGCATGCGTCATTTGTTTGACAAGGTAACAACTTTGTCTATAGAATTAGATTTATTGTTGCTCTTCTTGCCGTTAGAGTGATGTAAATGTCTTCATCCTCTGTACTTACAGTTAGCTGTCAGTTTATAAATATGTTTTCATCTTTTCTTTTATTTCTTCATGATCGGCACCACTTGTTGCAGCTCAGAGAGGATCATCATTTGAAGCATGGAGGTCGTATGCAACTGGGTTTATTTCTCAAGGTTATTTGCTTTCAAAGTTAATTATGCATTTCTGTTATAGACCTTTCCATTAATATGGAGCTTTGGTAGGTGAGTTTGAGCATTTCAGGATGCAACAAGTTCATTTTGATGTGCATTTTTCTTTTTTTATTCAGCCATAATGTGTGTACTTAAAATTCCTTTTTACTGATCGAAGCATTTAAGCTTCTTCTTGAAAGTTATGTGGTATAAGTGTTTTTATAGACTGGGAGGAAGGGTGATTTATTGAAGTTCAATGATATTTGGAGAAATAATTTCTGTTAGTGAATGAATATGAAAATATATTGGATGGGCTTCCAAATTATGCTATTTAATAACAAAACACAATATTTCTTGTGCTAGCTAATTGAAAATGATGTGTTTCTGCATATCTTGGAATTTGATGCGCTTGTTCTACATTTCCGTGATTATTTGTGTTGAACAGTACCTCAGTTTTTCATCATGGCACTGAATTAGTGCGCTGCTGTATTTTTAGGGTGTTGGACTGAAGTTAGATGATGCCCTTGCTTTTTGGAAAGTGGAGTTCTCCCGAAAGGTGAGCATATTGATCCTTTTATTTTTTTCTCATTTTGGTTTCAAGTGAGAAAAAAGTTGGACAGCTTGTTAAAATGAAAAACTACACGCATTCACTGCAACCTATTTTTGAAGCATGCACTGTTTTGTCAAAGCATTAAATGGATGCTATCAGGCATTGGAATTGGCCATATGAGAGAGTACACTAATCACATTGCCTGGACCACGAATAGTCCTATGAATATTAATAGTAATAAATGAAAATATAAATAGGAAGACTGAACTGGTTCAGTACCAAAGGAACACTGGGATTGCCCTTCTATATCCATCTTTACACCTTGCTGCTTTTGTAGACAGAATTGGATTGCAATTGTATAGTAATTAAAAGGATGGTAAAACCACTTCACAATTTCCTTCCGGGCTCATTTCTTGAATTACACGTCCCATCCATTGAAATTAAAGTGTGCTGTGTTACTTTTTTTAGGTTGGTGCCGACAGATTTGACAAAGAATATGCATATAGCATACGCCACAATTATGGAAAAGAAGGGAAGAGGACAGTAAGTTCAAATTATCCTAATTGACAAGTTTTTCATGTACCAGTGGTTAGATTGTTAGATCGTTAATACCACGTGAATTTCAGAATCAATATCCTCCCTTTGCTGGTCAACTCAAATAATTTGGCGAGACTTTACATTGATGTATTCAACTTTTTGATTCTGAAAACAATCTAAATAATAATATATGTTATGAATTTTAGTCTTATATTAACTAGTTGCCCACAATTAAATGAAGTGTTGCTTTTGTAATAGGTCTGACTGACCAAAAATCAATTAACACAAGACATTCATTGTGAAACAAAGTGTTATTTAGGGTGTTCTAGCAGGTCTAGAAACTAGTAAAAATGATCATACATTGGGCTTGCTGGCCTCAACATGCTCTCTGGCCGTGCTTTCTCTTTGAAGGAAAGAGGAAACTATATAAAGTCTGGAACAAAACGTATAATTAGTTATGATGGAAAAGGGAAAGAGTGGAAGAAGTATTAAAATAATGCCCCCATTTGGGCTCCATTTTAATGTGATTNAAATAATGCCCCCATTTGGGCTCCATTTTAATGTGATTTTGGGAGAAAATATATTTTGAAATGGTGTGATTTTTTGGAGAATGTATGATTAAAAGATGAGGCAAAATTTTTTAGTTTATGTGTAATATTATTTTATAGAAGAATGTGTGGTTGAAAACGAGTCTTGAAAAGATGTATTTTGGAAATAATGTAGCCCAAACAGGGGCAATATCTTTTTCTCGGTACATCAAAGACAAGGGGCCAAAATGAGAACCATGATGAATAATAGCCTAATTTTTTTTCCTGATATCATTTTGTAAAACAGACATTGGCATTTGGATGGTAATTCTCCTTCTCTCCCATAGTTTAAATTCCATTTTCAAATGTGTATAACAGCAATTATTCCATTTTTAATTGTCATTTCATGTGGGCATTATGGGAAAGAAAGTGAAAATTTTACATTGAGATGTAGATCTGTCACTGGGTCATCCAAAGAGATTGAATGTTGGAAAAGGACTATATATTCTATTTAAAATGGAGAAAAAACTATGAAGGATTTATATACTTTGTCTTTTATGTTCCTTTTTTATTTCCCTGCGATGTCTGTTAACCTAAGGTGTTGCATTCATGATTGATATAGAACATGAAGAAATTGCTTGAAATTCACGTTTTTTGGTTTTCTTTAATTTTTTATGCTCTTTATCCTTTGAGGAATGCAGGATTACACTCCCTATTCATGTCAAAAGATTATAAGTTCAACCCCGGGTGTTGGAGATCATCATGGATGTCCTTATCGTCATTTCAGGTCAGAGCTCCTATAAGATAACATCCTTCTCTGATCTTCTAAGCTCGGTTCTACAAGGTTCCAATCAATCATACCTTTATTATGTGGCCAGCTTTACAAATTTCTACATACCAGTGCACGGTATACAAGTTGAAATACAGCTAAGAAGAAAATCCATCATATAGTAAATCATGCCACAGCCTTCAAGAAATTTTTATTTTATTCAGGAAATTTTAACTAGCGCTCAAAACAATCGAAATTTGTTCCCATATAAGAATTTGACCTAATTTGTCCAAATAAATTTCCGTTTTTGTTGATGACTTGCTCTTCCGTCTTATGTGTTGTCATTCTTGAATTCTATCGTCTTCATTGTAGTTTCAATCATTTTCTTAAATTATTCTTGGTTTAGTTGACTAATGATTTGGAATTTTCTAGGAAGGTTTGAATAATTTGATCTTACAAGAATTGTTTAAGATTTTAACTACATTTCTCATAATTATGATTTGATCAATATCTTTATAGTTACTTTTCTTTTATTATCAGTAGTTTCAATTTAATGAACAATTAACCTAATGCCAGAAAAAGGTATCACTGCCGTTAATTTTTCCCAGCTAAACTTTTAAAACAATTTAATAAGTTAGTCAGAACTGTTGAACTGTTGAGTCAGCCTGATAATTGAATGACTATTAACCAACAACCAGTAACATTAGAAGCATCACTTTTTCGTGCTTATCTACTTATTATGCTCAGGCATTTTTGACCTTTGGTTTCCATTTTGTGGCTGGTTCAATTCCTGAGAAATTGATTGTGTTTGCCTGAGCAGTGAGGAGAATTTGAGAGAAGCTCTTGCTAAGATGGGAGTGGGTGGTCGTGCTGTGGAAGAGATCATTGATAAAAAGCGAAACAGACATTTTCAGGTTATTATATATTATCGAGTCTTGCCCTTATCACTTCCAAGAACTCCTATAGTTATCTTTGATTAACTGTTCAAGCAAGAAGTTAGATACCTTTAAATATTGTTTATGCAGTTAGCATGCACCTTGACTTTTGAAGCTGTTCATGGGGCATCATGTGATGCTGGGATTAACCATCCAAACCAGTACTACATTGACAGCAAAAGGATCTTGGAATCAAAGGTAAAACTGTAGATTTTTGGACCCCAATAGATTAAGTGATTTGCAGCTACTCCGGAAGATTAGTGATGGCTCATTTTTCATATTTTCAAACCAAGGATATACAGTTGAAGGAACTCGGTTTTATTGGTAGTCCTATTCTTTACATTTCATTTGCATTCTGTTGATATATAATTTTTCTTTTTGCAGAACAATTCCAAGAGTACATAAAGAGCAATTGGTTTAGCGTTGGAACAGCCCCTACTTGTTTTGCCCAAATCCTCCGCAAGTCGTTGAATCCATTTCTCTCAACATAGCATATGTAATTTATTGTCAATGATGTCTTGATCTTACTATAAAGAACACAATCTCGAGTTCTATAAAAGTATGAGAGTCTATATTCAAGTTTGTTTGTGAAGCTATTTTGTACGAAATAGGGAGATTGGAGTAAAAAATATGAGATTCACAAAAAAATAATCTCAAAAAGTGAAGCAGTCGGTGCCATCCACTCAATATTAGCGGGATTTAGTTGGTAGTATGAAAAAAATCTTCTCGTTACCCTGCATTGCCCTGTTCTAGTCTTGAATTATCCAAATCTTTCCCTAATTATTTTATTTTTAAGTTTTTAAAGAGGAATAGGAATATTTTAATTCTCGCCCCTTTCCTTTCGTGTCTCCTGAAGTTTTTTGACGAGGAATCCGTTGCTATTCCTGTGGATGCCATAAATGGTAATTATGCTTTGTTCAGCATTTAAAATTGTTTTTTTTAATTAATTGTATATGGTGCCTTGATCTAATATAAGAAGCACTTTTTGTTGAAGTGCCGGAGTCTATATTCAAGTTTGTAATGTACAACTGAGAGAGATTGGAATCAATAAATGGATGTTTTACTCGATTAGAGGTCTATAATTTATTAATACTGTTAAGAAGAGTATATTTTTGTATTTAATTGCTAATTATGCTTTAATCTTTTATAATCAACACATGCTCAAGTTTTGTACAGGTAGAAGATGAGTTTGAAATGTGCAAGTTATTTTGTACAAGAGAGGAAGATCGTAATTAAAAAAAAAATGATATATCTTAATTTTACATAAAGAACACTGTGCTCAAGTTTAGTAAACAGTACAAGACACGTTCGTAATGTGCGAGACATTTTGTACGGGGGTAATATCAGAATCAAGAAAATAATATATAATGATCTTAGGCCTTTTGATTGGCGGAATTTTTTATGGAACTAGAAAAATATTTTTCATTTTTTACTTTTTTGACTGTTTGATAGGCGAAATTTTCCACGGAAAATGTTTTCCTTCCCCACCCTCACGCGTCTATTTTTCGGGTTTTAGGTGTTGGTGGGAAAAAAAATTTTAGGTGGCTGTTTATTTTTATTTTTTATTTTTTTTTACAATGGAAACAAATGTTATAACCAAGTGTAAAAAAAATTTCACTTTAATGGACAATTTTCATGTAAAACAAAGTCAAACGAATACTAAACTTTGATAAAAAAAATAATTTTTTAGGAAATAATTTTTTTTTTTTTTTTTTAACTTTTTGGCAATGAAAACAAATTTTATAATTAATTGTGGAAAAAATTATCATGTTAATGGACAATTTTCATATAAAATAAGGCCAAACGAATAAAAAATTTTAAATTTTTCGGGTAGAAATTATACCAATCAAACACGCTTAATTAACAATTCATTGCAAAACAATTTCTAGCCAATTATTTTTCCTGAAAATCATTTTCTTTCCACTCTTGCAACCAAACGAAACCTTATATGCAAAAACTCATGTTCTAGTTTTGTAGTGCAAGTCATTTTGTAGGAGAGGAAGAAAAAACATCTACAACAAAATAATGATATTCTACGAGTTTAGATGATCATTAATTTACATGATAGTGACTACTATCATATAGATCAATGATCATCTAGATTCTAGACTATAGATAAATACCATTATTCGTAACCTAATATCAAAATGTGACCTAGTTGACTCCATTATAGAACTTTAATTGGTAATTATGCGCTCTGTGGCATTCAAAACTTGTATTAAAGAGAGTATTTTTGGCATCAATTCCTAACAACTTTGTACCTTTGGCTAGTACAATTTTCTTGCCCAATAAATAGACGCCTTGAGATTAATTGGTAATATGAAAGGGACTTGTACCTATTTTCTAAATTATTTGCATAAAAGATAAGAATTATTTATTATACCATACAATCTTTTTGAAATCTTGCGTTCATAATCTTTACTAGCATTATACAATTTTCCATTTTTGGCGAGCATAGGATATAGAGTGCTTCTTGATCTTCTGCCACTGAGAGCTAGACAAGACTTTGAATCTCGAGATACACAATGTTAGAAATTAAGGATGTCTTCCCTACCCTTTCACGTAGTGTGAAAGATATGGATTTTGAGTCTCCAACTTACTTAACTGTGTGAATATGGATCTCTACATGAAGAAAACTATTAATATAAACCTTAAATTTGAGTCACATGAAAGTCACGTGCAATTTTAACGTTCACTTTGATGGTACTGTTCACATATGAATCAAGATTCACATACTTAAATAACTTGAAAAATCTAGAATCCGACTTTTAAATTTAAAAACCCATAATCCACACGACGTAAGATGTCAAGGAACTCAACCCTAATTTACCATAAATTTCTCACCAAATCTAGTTTGTTGATTTATGTCAATACTATTGACAAGTCTCATGAGTGATAAGTGATGGTAAACCAACCAAACAGAGATTTATGACGTTTGACCAATGTACTAACCCACTATTAAATCTGCCAGACAGAAGAGAGTGTGACATTTTGTACTAGACGACTAAGAAACTCATTATTCATCTTCATCTTGACAAGGGATTGGGGGTGGGTGGGATGGGGGGTACCACAGACTGCTCATTAGATGTGACTTACATTAAAGTGAAGTTTCTTGAAAGGGAGTGAGGTCTACATATCATAGTAACTGAGGTTGAAATTGTTTGTTCATTTAAGGTTAAGAAATTGATAGATTTTGTTCTCTCTCCCGAGCATTACTCACCGCTCACTGGGCATAAATCTTTTTTAAATCTCTTGTTCCAATATCCCAAAGGAAAGAAAAAGAAATTTTTTGGTCCCCAATAATCAAAACACAGTAGTTTTTACTTTACCTTCATTTATATTCATTGATTTAAAGTGAAGTATGAAGAGAGAAGTAGCATAGTGCTATCTGAGTTTAGTCAAATGACAAAAAAGCATAATGCTAGTTCTTGTCAAATTTAATTAGTTTCGAGTGAGCGAATAATTCTGAATATACACTAAATATTAGGGCATGTGGCAAGGTTTCTGTTTATGCCATTGTTTTTCTAAATAAATTATTTTAGAACAACTTTCCTTAAAAGTTGTTTTGATCAGACAAAAAACTTTCAAAAAATTATCCACATGGGTCCAAAAATAGCTTCTTAATCTCGTAAACAACTTTTTACATTTCGAAAGCCCATCAAATAGACCATTATTATGTTTTGATTATTGACGACCAAGAATTTTCTTGTCCTTTTATTTTGGGAATTTGAACAAGAAATTTAAAATTGAGTTATAGCCGAGTGATGAGGAATGCTTCGAAGAGGAAATAAAACGTGTCGAAATTTTAAACTTATAAATGAATGAAATTTTTTAATAATGCTTCGAAGATGAAATAAAACATGTCGAAATTTTAACCTTATAAATAAACGAACAATTTTAACCTCGGCTATCATGACATATAGACATTGTTCCATTTTAAGAAAATGCACTTTAAATCTACTTTAAAGATATTTCTAATCAAGACGTGATCTAGAAATCAAATGATTATGATAAATCTACTCTAATATGTGCTCGTGATTCACCAAGCACTAAGTGCATCAACAAACACTTTCAAACATGTAACTTTTAGTAAAATGGTCGTGATTTATTTGAGATTACAAGTGAGTCTAAAAAAATTCAATTAATAAGATTTTCATTGTCATTCCGTCTGCTCTCAAAACATTTCTAATAAAGATCTGGTCGAGAGATCAAATGATTATGATAGTTTACTAATAAAAATGCCCTTAAACCACAAAACACCAAGTGTACACTTTCCACCGTATAATTTTTATTAACATCTTCGTGATTTATTTGAGAATGCAATTGAATTCAACAAATTATAGTTATCGAGATATCGAATTATTTTAAGAAATCTACTTTACTACATTGGATCCTGACCCACCAAGCACCAAGCGTCCCCCCTAACACTTTTCAAACACATATTTTTCATTGAGTTTGCAAATGAGTTCAACAAAGATATTTCTAATAAAAACTTGAGATAAAATTATCCTAAAAAAATTACTTTACTACAACACGTGCTCTTGACCCACCAGGCAACAAACCCTTCCAGGCATAACGTTGTTGTGATTTATTTGAGATCGCAATTGAATCTTACATCGGGAAGGGATAAGGATGGCTCATTGTCTTGGTTGGCGGCTTGCTATCATCCCGTCTTAATGGATTTGGCTATATTTGAATGTAGCCAGCGATGTTAATTTCATGTGAGAGCTTTCTTATAAAGACGTTTAAGATTTTCAACATCACTGTCTATTCTAAAAATTTTCTAATCAAGACTTGATCAAGAGACTAAACAACTCTAATCGAGCATTAATGTAGCCCACAAACACTTTTAGACATAATTTCATTAAAATCGTTGTGATTTATTGGAGAATCAAACGAGTCCAACAACTAACAAGTAATAAGATTAACATATTCAATTTGTTATATTCCTTCACATCCACAATATGATGTCTCTCCATGTTTGGAGTGGAGACACTTTAAGCCAATTTTGGGTACACACCAAAACCAACACCATCCCAGTGGAGAAATGACTACGAAAGGGGTTAAGAATTCTTCCTTTAGTATTGAAAGCACTTTTTGAAAGTCGTCATAGACACTTGAATTGCCATAACATTTTTTGCAAGTTTGGACAAGGTATCGTGTTTATTTCTATTTAACCCTCCCCCAATTAAGAACCTCAAAAGCATTGCCATCTATATCTTTACAAGCATCCAATAAGTGTCTATCCAAATTATTTTTTAGTTCAATCAAATATTTTGTTGCTTGTTTTCTCTTAAACCTAGAAATAGGAGTAAGAGATACTTGAAGTAGGACTTTCTTTTGCAAAAGAAACACCACTTGAAGAATTCACAACACTAAATTCGAGATTTTCATCGGAGCTTGCT